TAGTTTAATACATTTGGAAATATAATCAATCTATTATATATATAGATTTTCTATAATTTTTTTTTGAAATATTATAGAATACTATAGATCTTCTATAATATTCTAACACTCTCCCTCAAGCTGGAGGATAAATATTAATCATGCCTAACTTGTTCCAAAGATACTCAATCCGTGTTATATTAAGAGGTTTTGTGAATATATCACCAAGTTGTTCTCATGTCTTCATGTAACCAGTAGATATATAGTTTTCCTTAATTTTCTCTCGGATGAAGTGACAATCAATTTCGATATGCTTGGTTTATCATAATACATAGGATTTGAGGCAATATAAAGGGCAGCCTGATTATCGCACCAGAATCAATCACCCATTTGTTTGATGAGGAGATAAAATATCTTTTACCTAATTCAGCAGAAGTAGTAGTTGGTGGGTATTCATTCAAAGATTCTTGAAACTGAGATATTCTTGCATACTCATCGGCTGAAACCATAATAGTTTTCTCAAAAGATGAGCTAAGAGTAGCAACAATTGTAATATTAGCAGTATGTGTTCTCTGATTCCGATTCTGTAATTACTTACATTGCCACTTTGTATGTCTTTGCTCATGACAGCAATAACAAACAATATTACTTGAATCATTGTTTCGACTATCAATTGCTCTGTTTTTTCTCCTGTTATTATTTCTTCCTCCTCCTCTGACAACAAGAACATTAGGGTGCTGATTGGGTGTAGTATTCTCTGTGAGTAACACCTTACTGAAAACTTCTTGTAGAGATGTAATCTCGAAACCGGATAAAATTTGGGATTTAGCAATCTCAAATTCAGGTAAAAGACTAGCTAAGAAGCTGATTATGGCCATCTGCTCTTTTTGTGTTTGTTGTACCTTGATGTTATCACTAAACGATAAAAGTACATTAACCTCCTCATAAGTCCTTTTGAATTTTATAAAGTAAACTGTGAGAGATTTGACCTCCTTCTCAGCACGATAGAAGGCTTTACAAACATCGTACATGCGGGACACATTGTCTTTTCCTGAGTACAGAAATTCTAAATAATCCATCAGTTTTTTAACAAACTCACAGTGATTAATTAAACCAATTACCTCACTATCAATTGAGTTTCTAATTTGTAGAAACAACCGTGCATCATCTGTTAGCCAGACTTGTTTAGTTCCATCGATGGGAGGATCTGAATCAAATTATCATCTTTATTAGTATTGTGTAGATAAACCCTGATTGTTTTGCTTCTTTTCAGATAATTTGTGGCATTTAATTTATGTTCAATGATTTTTGACATGACTGAGATTACCTCACTTACAAAGAATTTGTTATCACCCATTTTAATTCAGAATATCGAAAAAATATCACTTAAAATACTTGAAACACAGCAGTTAGGGATATACGAAAAACACTGCAATTATACCAGAAATCCTGAGAGAAACAGAGTACCTCTTCACACACGGAACTAACAAAAGCAAACTGCCACCATCAGAGACTGACCGCCACCGGAGTTCACGCGCCGCAGCTAGAAATCACCGAAATGCCTATGTTCGGCCGGAAATCACCACAAACTTCATTGGACAACTGAAATGCATAAGGGGCTCGCAAAAAATACCTCAAATCACACCGGAAAACCAAAGAAAACTTACTGTCACGCGATCTGCTTTGTCGCAACTTCCTCCGCTCTGGCCTTCTGGTTTCTTGCTCAAAACAAGCTGGCCAAACGTTTCTTCATCTGACCTTGTGCCAAACTCGTCCCGCACACGAACCGGCCTCCTCCGGTTCACCCGACGCCTGATGACTTGGAACCGCTGGGAAACAGCTTCATCCGCCTCTTCTGCGTGCACCACCGTACCAGCCACGATCTGAACTGGTCGGAGGATGGTGGTTGACTTCCTTCGGTGTCAGGAATGAGTTGTTCAATCCTTTATGTGGTCTGATCTAATCTGACCTCTAAAAATCCTAACCCTGGCTCTAATATCATGTAAATTTTAGGAAAAAATATTGAATATTTCTTGTGCTTTATTGAAATGAAAGTAGGGATGTACATATATGTAAATGGAATCATATATGGTAACCAGTATAAATTACTCTATTAATTTCTTTTCTAACTAGTTTAATACATTTGGAAATATAATCAACCTATTATGTATATAGATCTTCTATAATATTCTAACACAGAGAAAGGGGGCAAACTTGTATCAAAGCTGTAAAAATACGTAGTCCAAAATTTTCGAGGGAAATTAGTATGAAGAAATAACACATGACACACATCCAAAGATAGCTAACAATTGGGTCTACGTGCCTAGAGCAAAATAAGATTCTAGTTTCCGATTTTGAATGTTTAGCAAATTTTGGAGTCCAAACACCTCATGATCATATGGTTGGTAATAGTAACATATTTAATATCCACTATCAAGAACAATAAAGAGAATATGTAACATTCTTTGACAACGACTTTGGACTGAAGGAAATGAAAGGAAATAAAGGGAAAGGAACTTGAGGGTAACTTATTTCCCTTATCTAAATGATTTTTATGAAATGGAAGAGGAAATGGTTGGCTATTTGCTATGTTCTCCGTTTTTCCTTCAAATTTTGGATTTTTCCTGTCCGCAAATGTGGAGACTCGATATTTTGTTGGCTAACAAAACCCTAGTGATTCAATTAACATATTGTGGTCTCCCTGATACTTTTATTCTGGTTGATAAATGACACATTAGGGGTCAGTGACCAAGGATTAAATTTTTTGGTGGTTTTGTAGATCTGCATCATTATCATCATCATTATCATTATCATTATCAATAAATGTTATAGCTTCACCTTGTAATCAGATGAGTCGTGGTAGTAACATAATTAACATCCGATAAGAAGAACAATAAAGGAAATACGTAGTACACTTTACCAACTTCTTTGGATTGAAGGAAATGAAAGGAAATAAGGGAAAGGAACTTGAGGGTACCTTTTTTCCATTGTCCGAAAGCTTTTTTGAGAAATGGAAGTCCAATTTTTAGTTAAAGTTTTTGTATTTTGTAGTTCCCAAATATGGGGATGGCATATTATATTGGCTAAAAAAATCCCAAAGTGATTCAAGTAACATCACGTGGTCTCCCTGCTATTTTTATTCTGGTTGAAAGAGTTTACTATTGTTTGGACTTCAAAAATCCCAAGTGATTCAAGTAACATCACGTGGTCTCCCTGCTATTTTTATTCTGGTTGAAAGAGTTTCGTATTGTTTGGACTTCAATTATATGTTAGGGGTGAGTGATTAAGGTTAGATTTATTCGGTGGTTTTTTATATCTGTTTTATTATCATTAACAATAAATGTTATGGCTTCTTGTAATTACATTCTTGTGCGCAATTTGGAACTTTTTCCAGGGTAAACAGGTTTTTGTATTTTTTTTCATTTAAGAATTCTTATTTGTAGTTGATCTGGGATGCAATACCAGCAATATAGTAATTACCTTTTTAAAATATGCTAAATATGCACTCCGTCTAACTGATTACAATTTGATGTGCAGAAAACTGCAAAAAGTGGTCTTCACATCCTCCTTGGGGGCATTTGTGCTTTGACGGTTGTGGTTTTCTTCCGCTTCGTAAGTAGCTGAACAAAGAATACCCTATTAGCATGATGCCTATTAGCATTTCATTTAGTAGCTTGAGAAATTCTTTGGTCTGTCATACGCAACTAAGAAATGATTATATGGAGATTGAATTGGTTTGGCACTCATGAGATCATTATTGTATTTATGGGTGGCTCGTGTGGCTTCTTTAGTTTGATGTGTTAAGATACTAGTTTGATTTTTGCATTTCTTTTCTCTTATGAACGGGTGATCTGAAAAGAATTAAAAAAAGAGAGGGTGATATTGGTTGTTGTAAACCTTGCAGATTGTGCTCACTAGAATCAAGTATGGACCTGCACGGTACTGGGCAATCTTGTTCGTCTTCTGGTTTCTTGTGTTTGGGATATGGGCTTCACGAACGCATGCAGCTCACACAACATGATGCAACTCTTGGTGCCTTGTTGATGCACGTAAATTCAGTATATTCTTTTTGTCCATTAAATAGTTCGAATGGCTGTCAAAAATAGTAAAATTCTCTAGAACTTGAACATGGTGCAAGTTTCAGTTTTGTTGATGGTTTCTTCTGTAAACCACGCTGAGGTGCTGAACGTTGATATGCCATCATTTTTAGAAGTCCGGTTGTGGATAATTTGATTTTTTTAAAAATGATTATTTCTTTTCCAAGAAAAACTTTCCAATCTTCCCTGTTGAAATCATCTGTTTAGTTCTTTGGTGGCATGCAAGAACTTTGAAATCCGAAGTTAGAGAATGAGAGAAAGAATTGACCCAAGAGCTTATTGGCTGCTTGCTTGGGAAGGAGCTTAGAGGCAAGGTTACCGGAGCATTTATTAGTTAACTTGGAGTTGGAACTAGGTTCTTAGCTATGACCAAACGTTAAGTATACTTTCTTTAAACTGCTTTCATAAAAATATTATTGAAATTGTGTTAGACTTCTATACATAATGTCTCTGTTTGATGACAAGGTCTTTAAACATATTATTTATATATTATGTTACTTCTGTAAGTACTTTTTAATTGAAGGGAAAGCAAATGATTTGCTAAAGATTCGGGATAGGTGGTTGCATTTATTTGGATCGTTAATTCTAGGACATGGCTTGTATACGGTGGATGATTTTGGATACTACTTAACAAATATGTAAATATTTTTGAATTACGGGTTGCATCCCCTTGTGCTATGTTAATAGATTTACACTTTTTATTTCAAAACAAAAAAAAAATATTACTTCTCTAAGTACTTTTTAATTGTATCAATCTTCTTTATCCTTGTGTCATTACTCTTAGAATAAAATAGGGTTAGGAAGATGAACAGACTGAGGTTTCAAGTGTAAATGTTGGCCGTACATGATGGTGTATTTAGAGTATAGATACTCAACTATTAGGTCTATGATTTAGAAGTGTACCACAATTTTTACTTTCCTTAACAATACAACATTAGCACCAATAATAGAGTTGAAAAATTCACAAAATTATTCCCTTATTTGTGTAATTACCATTTACATTACTAATCGTAGGAAGCAATATTCCCATGTTTCATTTCAATAATCCGTTTTTTATGCTCTTGTTATTTTTCTTTCTCGAAGTATAATAAGCTTATTTGTCGAAAAAGTTGGTGTTTTGTGATGCATTCATTGATCAAATATTTCACTAGAAAATTATTTAAGAACGTATTAATTGTTCACTTGATTTGAGAAAATTAAAATTTATTTTTTATTTATAATTTTTTTTTTAAAAAATACTCCAAATATGAAAAAAAAAAATTTCAAAATTTTTGTACCTTCTCATGTAACAATTAATAAGTTGTGTCAAAAGCGATTAGATCAAAATACCCTTTGTACTATAATGTATATTTCGAAGTAACTAAAAATTATTTTTTATTTGTGATTTTAGAGAAATGCACTAAATATGAAGAATTTTTTTTCAAAAATTTTATATGTATTATTGTAACAAGTAACTTCGAAAGTGATTATTAGCTCAAAATACTTTTTATGCTATAATAGAATATAATAAGACCTTTTTCCTAGTATCAAAAAAGACTAATTTGCTATAAGATTTGAAGAGATTATGAAAAATTATAATAGGGTGAAATTACAAGGATGTTTTAGATTTTCAATTTTAAATGCTAATTTATGTAAGGTGAATCCTTATAAAATTCTGATCTACCACCAAACGTTTGTAAAATTGTCGTATTGACTGAATCAATTTAGAGATTTTATTTTTCAAAATTCCACTTTTTTTTTTATATATATAAAAAGAAATACCAAACTATGTTCATCTTAATTCTCACATTTTGGAAGATGCAACCATAAACTAAAGAATGCCAACATACTGAAACTTCTGCAACTACTAATCATTTTCCTTTAAAAAAAAAAAACCATCCCGATTTCATACAATGATATTATCCGGTCAAGGCAGCAAGCTATAAATTTGATTAATCTCAAAACTTCGTTGCTATATCGGTATCACTGGTTTTCACTTTCCGCGTATTTTGGCATAAGCATTTGGAAGACATTTACAAACGACATTTTTGTTAGTCTTTGCTTCAAAACTTGGAGGAAGAGCTATACATACAGAGGTAATGTACAAATTGCAGACCACATTTCTGCTGTCTGTCTTCATGACTTTTGGTCACCATATCAATTTTCTTCAACAGCAAACCCTGCACGACAACCGTTAATGACACCAATCATCCTTCACCACTTTGAAACAGTAAGTATAACAATAATGAAGGATATATAAATACAGAATTATGCATCCATGTTGTTATGATAACAAGGATGAAGAGAGTCCAATAGAAAAATATGGGCTCCAGATGAAGTGCAGATAGCAGGCGGTAGGCCCAATCGACATTCTTTATTCCTTTTTCGAGAGGATGTATAGGGTGCTCATAAACAAACTAGCAAAGAGTTCAGAATTGCTCAAAGAAATATATAAACCACAATGATCCAACTGACAGCAGCTTCTTAGTCGATCTCATCTTTGTATGCAAACATCATCAATCAAATCTACTATACATGTTTAATGGATCACTCCTCTCATAAAGATCATTTCAGCAATTAGAGAAACGGTAAGTACTGAAAATTATGCTGCTACTTTTGGCAGGTAGTAGACATTTTTCTCGGAGAATGCATTTACTAGATGTTTGCCTTTTAAAGAGCATGCCATAATATTTTCATAGCACCAGCTTAGCCAAAAGCCGATGATTCTTTACCCTTATGCTGTCTCAGAGCCCAAGTTCCAATAATGTCATTCAACATTGAGGAGTCATTTTCAAATAAGGATCTGTAACTTCACCGTTGCATTTAGTTCAGTTCTCATTCAATTCCTAATCAATTTCTAGTTTTAATTTTCATATATGTCGTGTTTATGTTACCAATACCATCGTTAATTCTTTGACTGTAGGAATACAACTGCTACCTTCAAATGTAGGAATTCAATGCCTACGATCAAGGAATTCAAGATTTGCTTCTGCTAACTCAGAAACAACAGATTATGCATGTTAAGATTAATATAAAAATCAGAAGTAGGAATTAAATATGAATTGAATAGAAACTGCCTAAAGGATTTAAACTAGGGATCTGAATCAACTATATCAAACCTTCTACAAGCCCTCTATTCTGAAGCCTTTTTCTCCATTCTCAAATTAACCACGGTAGGAAGGTCTTTTTCTCTTAAGAGATTGGGTAGCCATTACCATCTTTCTAAAATTTACAAAAACAAATAGCAACGATCTGCACCACCTTTTTCTGGGAAAATGCAAATTTTATAAGTTCCAGAACTATAAGCCTATAAGCTATTGCCAATCTCTGGCTGGAATCTCCATTATGACCAAAGAACAATTCCTTGCATCCACGGTAGCTCTTATTAGCAATGAACTCGGGCCAAAATCAGGTGTTCTGGCCTTTCCCAATGACAAGCTTCAGGAATATTTGATATTTTATATAATTGGCCAACACCAAAGACACATAGAGAAGCATTAAAACAGAAGAGGCAAAAAGATGATTCAACACAATGTTTTATTCCAATCAGACCTGTCATAGCAGCTTTCACTTGGACATAATACAAATTTCTGAAACTAAGAAACTAATATATCTGCAAAAAGCTGTAATGACTTAGCCCAGAGCTATAAGAACTCTTATCAGAATCATTAGTTTAAAGCTCCCTAAGAGTCATTCCAAAATCCAAAGTGAAAGGCAGCAACCTTGGGTGAACCATTGCAACTCTTTTACAAGCCTTACTAGCATAATCATCTCAAGCATTTCTCACAAAGCGCAACTAGTCATAGTGCAAGAAAAGCAATAATTTCATCTAGGTACTGTGTAGTAAAGAACATGACTTCCCTAACCTGATTACAACCAACACTAAAATAACGAAAAGCTTTGTAATCAAGTACAACTGTCCAAACACTTACTGCTAGCAAAAATCAAGCTTCTATACTTGTTAAATTATGATCAAACGAAGAAAAACTAGCTGTCACTAGTTTTGTAAGTATTCTTCGGATTTACAGATCCCAGAGTAAAGTACAAGTTTTAGTGTTTCGCTACTGTGAATAGAGAAATGCAGAATGCCCCACAAATAGATTAGTCCTGAAAATATTTGTATTCCCTAACAATTCCATGAAAGAAAACCAAAGAAATAAGCAGTTCACCAAATTAAGAAACTCAATCATGCAAAAATAAAAAATAAAAAATAATTAACAATAAACAAAGAGAATGCAGAATTGTCAAAGCAAGAAACAGATCAAATCCATACCAATTTAGGCGAGAAAGAAGACATCATCAGTCATCAGGACCACATACTGCAAAATCCTCAGCGGGGCGTTCCTAAAATCAAGTGCAGGCAACCTCAGCTCCCTAACCCTACACTCCCCATTTCCTCTCCTGGCTCGAACTCGACCCGGTTCCACTTTCCTGAACAGATAGAAAGAATTGGCACCGGAAAGCCTGCTGCTACCAGAATCTACAGATGGATTCTTCTTGGTCTTAAAAAGGGTCCATCCCATCCCAGCCAAAGCCCGAGAAAACGCCTCCATGGAATTAATTCGATCACCCGTTAACCGTGAGAACAGAGATATAGAGCAGCAATTCCAATTGCCACTAGGAATCTCAAATTCTGCCCCATTCGTCGGTTTATTTGGGGTAAAGAAAACCAGCTTGAAAAGCCCTTTTGAGAGTGAAACGAAGGAGCGAAGATGGGAGAGAGAGGAAGCAGAGATGGAAGGGAAGGAGAGTAAAACGGCATCGTTTGGCAGAGACCACGACAGTGACGACGAAAGCGACAGAGTCGACCACGATGATGGATACGACGACGACAACGGTGAAGCTGACGCGGAAGAAGAAGAGGACGTGGACGGTGGGTAGGAGAAAACGATGTGGGAAAGAGAGGGAGTAGGGTATAAATCCATACCCATATCTCTTGCAATGGTGGCTAATCTATAGGTGTCTGCAACAAGCTCTCTGGTTGGGAGGAAGAAGAGCAATGGCGTCCTGGTTTTATTGATGGATTTCTTAGTTTTAGTTGGTTCCTGAGGGGAATGATTGGAAGAACCGCCATCATCATCATCGTCATCGCTATCCTGCTTGTAGTGATGGGAGTGAGTGAAATGATGGGAATTTAGGGTTTCTCCCAAGAGAAGAGAACGAACCAGCTTTAGGGGGAACATCTTGTTCATCTTCTTTTTCTTCTTCTTCTTCTTCTTCTTCTTCTTCTTCTTCTTGTGCTTTACCTTTTGGTCGGTGTGAAAGAGTGATTAGGGCATCTTATGAAATCTTTTGACTAATCAAATTACTTCATCTCCCTGTAGATAAACCCTAAATACAACCTTCTACTCTTTTTGACATTCACATGGTCCCCATCTTCTACGGCTTCTCTTTCTTTCCCAAGAAAAATTGCATCCCAAGCAAAATCCCAAAATCCCTAATTGAGACGATTTCCAAATGGATTTACCTTTTGGTTCATTACATATTCTATCCACCTTTACTTTCTTTTAGGCTTAATTACTACACACATATATATATACATATATTTAATGCGGAATGATACATTTACCTTCTTGTATATTGAGAAAGTAGTTATATAGAATATAGAATATATATATATATATATAAATGAATGAACTTAGCTCAATATATTAGGATTTATATAAAGATACATGTCCTGTTGAGTCAATTACTGAAATTGTGTTCAAAGTAATTTGCAGAGGATCTCCACCAGATTCTTCAAATAGAACCAACAGATTGTTGGAGACATTAAGAAACGATCGAGGTATATGATATCTGTCACAATTATGTCTTTAATTAGAAGAACAAAAATGTTAATAATTAAGTATACGTACATATATATATATATATATATATATATATATATACATGTGTGTAGCTTACAGTGTCTGGGAAGGGAGTCCTTTAGGGGTATGAAATGAAACCCAATAGCGACCGATGCTCTGTCCATTCACCCATGCTTCTCCTTTCCCCATGCTGCTAAGATTTAAGGCAACTGGATTTTCCCCCATTGGTGCATCAAACGCTGTCTGTAATTTACATGTTCTTACATTTCTTTTACTGTATAAAAAATTACTGTGAAGTAATTTGTTCTAATACATAAATTACTGAGGTTAAAACAATTAATCTAAAATGTATTTACCTTGTACCAAGTAAGAGATTGATCGTTGAAAAGAGTAATGTTACTGCTCCAATTTACATTACCCAAATTTTCCTCTTCGTATATTCCTAATTTCTCCCCTTGCAAACCCACCTGTAATTATATTTACTATCATTATTACAATAATTATTATTAATTAACATATTTAGTTAATTAATTTTGTTAATTATGATATACCTCATATCCCCATTCATAGTTTTCAAAATCATACGCTGTGGTTTCGTCCGAACACTGAATTCGTACTTCGGTTAATCCGGCATATCTTCTTTCGAGAAAAGACCCGGAATCCTGTTAATAAAAATTTTTAAATTAAATTTTAATTTTACAAAATTTAAAATCTTTATTTAAAAAATTAATTACCGGTAATCCAACCATAACGCTAAGTATCGAAATATTATTAATTCTATTGTTCAGCGTAATTGAATTATCGATTGTAAATCCCTTGGAAGTATGACTTCCATGTCCACCCCCTACAATAATAATCAATCACAAATTTTGAATAATTAACTTGTTAATTAAATTTCTATATTTAATTAATTATTATATAATAGTAGAAAATAATAAATTTAATTAAAATTACCTGCATAATTATCGTTAACGAAGGCATGTCCAACATGTCCGAGAGATTGAACGTGAAGTTGGGCATTAGAACACGAAGTATTGGATTGAAAGCTGTAATCATAAATAAACTCGTTAATTAACTATCATTAGTAAAAAAATTAATTAATTAATACAATCAATACCTAAAAGTATACCAAAGATAATCAGATTTATCTTTAGTTGTATTCATGTGTTCTAATAACTTATTTGCTCGTAGCGAAGAATTTAAATAATTTAGAACTAAGTCTCTGTACGCTTCCCATTTATCTTCTGCTTCAAAATTTATCTCGGGCGTTGTAATTCTCGTATTCTTCTTTTCCGTACTTACCTATAGTTACATTTCAAAATTTATACATTTAAATAATTAGATATAACTTAATAACCCATTGTATATGTGCATGTAAATAAATAATTGAAGTTAAATAACTTACTTTAGCAGTGTTGAAAATTAAATTTCTGCAATCTGATAAAATACTTATTGATCTTGGAAGCAACTTAAACCATGTGTCTCGAAATTTAGTGGTAAATGTGCGTGTAGGATCGTAGTTTACTAGAAATGCAACACATGCTCCACTTGGTTCTTCAAAAACATAGGCCTAATAAACATATCATACTTGAATTTATACAAGAATATATATATATATATATATATATATATATATATAAGAAAATATATACAACATATTTATATATATTTACCTCTTGAAGTTTGCCGAGTGAGAAATTGGTCGGGACACCTTGTAGCAAAGGTGTGGAACAAAGTTTAATTGCAGCATGTAATTCCTTCATATGACCCCATTTAGGTTGTCTAATTAAACCTATATATATACATATATATATATCCATATTAAACATGGCTAGTGTAACAAGTATATGAGTAGGGTTTATATATTGTTTTTAAATATTTGAATTGATATCTAAACATTAATTTTTTTTTTTTTTTCATTCGATACTTCTTTTTTCAAAATATATTTGCACGAATTCATATCCGTTAAATATCAATAATATTATTGGCAGAGTTGGGTATACGACAGTACCTAAAATACGTGATTGTTTTATTTGTTGTTAGATAAATTTTATATCATATATCATGTGTCGTGTTTTCTAAATTTAGAAGATCAGTTGATCGGTTTAAGATGAATTCATATTAGTTCTTTTATTATATTTTTATATACTGATTCATACAGTTTAGATTTATTCAATTAAAACAATCACGTGGTCAACTTCACTAACCGTATTATATCATTTAACGAATAAAAATTAATACAAATATTTTTTTAAAAAAAAATAAAATGAATGAATGAGAAGATAAAAAGATTAATTACCGTATTCGTCTAAAGGGGCTTGATCGTAATAACTTGTTATAACGTAAGCGGCTCCACTTCTTCCAAAATTGGTACCACCGTGGTACTAAAATTCAATAAACGAGAAATTAAATTGTAATTAATAGTCAAATAATTAATTTTCAAAGAGTAAATTTGAATTAGAAGGAACAATACCATGTAATAATTTACAAAGCTTCCATTCTTTGCTATGAAGAGTGCTACATGAAATGCAATATCTTCGGCAGATCTCATGTACGGTTCTCCACCATATACTTGATAACTTTACCAAATCAAATATATATATATATATGTATATATAATCATTAAAACATAGATTTTGAATTAATAATAATGTAAATATAAATTCAGAAAAACATACAAAGAGGTCCAATTCTCTGTCCAAATTTTAGGTTTATTGGGTGAATTTGGGCCAGGAAATGTTTCCCCACATCTCATCCCGTTACATGTATTAATCTGCACATAATTAATTTAAATTTTTATGATTAAAAAGTTAATTGTAATTAATTAACTTTAATTAATCAAAAATAATTACCACCGGGTCAGGAGCATCCGGTTGTTTGCACATCACCCAGGGGACACCGGTCTGGAGATCAACCGCCATTTTAGCGGCCCAACGAACGTAAACCGGTCCTTTCTCGTGAAACGCCGGCTCCACGTTTCCATATTCGTTCTCAATCTATTTTATTTTTAAAAATTAAAAAATATTATTATTTTATTTATTTATTTTGTAAAATTAAAATAATTTAATTAATAAATAGAGATTAATTAGTACCTGGGAGAGTATGATTGGACCACCTCGAGAAGCATACAACTTCTCTGACTTCATCAGATTTACTATTTTCGTCGTAAAATTTTGCATGTAAAACTGTTGAAATTAAAAATTATTAATTACATACGTGTGTGTGTGTGTACGTATATGTGTACGTACATGAATAAGAGATCACCTTGAAAGGTTCGTTGTCTGTTCGATAAACGACGCCGGGAACATCATGCAACCAAAAGGGTAACCCCCTGCGTGCACCTCAAAGTTAATTATATATGTATATGTGTGTATACACATATGTATATATATATATATATATATGTATGTATATGTATTTAGAGATTACGAACCCATAAGTCCATTCACTTTCGATGAAGGGTCCAATTCTGAGGAAAGCATAAAGGCCTTGTGCTTGGATTTCCTTGATGAATCTCACCAAGTCATTTCGTCCGCTAAAATCATACTGTAAAAAATTCACATTCAGTATATATATAGATGTATATGTGTGTGTGTGTGTGTATATTATTGAAACCCATATATGTATATGTATATGTATATGTATATATATTACTTGAAGAGGTTGAGGCTCGTGAAGATTCCAAAAGACGTAAGTTTCAATCACATCTACTCCTCCTTCCTTTGCTTTGCTTATCAAGGACGGCCACATCTGCAACAATTTTTTTTTTCTTCTATTAATTTTAGTTTAAAATTAATATTAATATTAAAGTTTAAAATAAACAACGAATTATAAATTAAAATCATTTAAAAAATATGTAATTAACGAAATTAATAATAATTTATTAAGGATTAATTTATGATTATAATTAACAAAATGCAGGCCCAGAAAACATGATTTTCTGTTGAAGACAGAAATTAAGGAAGAAAGTCTTAAAATCAGACGGAAAAAATAAGGAAACTTTTTGTCTCACGCGCAACGCGATGCCCATTCGAGTTTTTGAAATATACATACATACATATATATATTTATTACAAATATGTTATAATTTATATGTATATATGTAATTGTCGAATAAATTTTTAAAATTTCTTTGTAAGTAAAAAAATAAAAAATAAAGAAGAATCTCAAATGGCAAACTTATATTTATGGTAATTAATCTCCTAATCAAGTAATTAATATGATAAATATAACCATTTCAAAATATAAAATTTGCATATATAATGACCAATAATATCATAATCTACTACTAGTAAAAATATAGAGAAAATGCAATTCGATTTAATTAAGAAAAATATAAATGGGTGTAAGTAATAAATGGGTGTGGAAATTAATATATGTATACATGATCATTGTTGGAAGCAACATAGTATATAGCACATATATATATATATATGTAATGAATTAAGAAACGATGATACTTGAAATATATGAATTGAATTACTTTTTATGTCGATGAAAATTAAGGGTTCGAGATGAAGAATATGTAAGGTAATTAATATATATATATATATATGTGTATATGTGATCGTTGTTGGGGGGCAGCATAGTATATAATGTATACATAACATATAGAGGAACAATATATATACATATACATATATATAAAGAAAATTTGATAATTAAAGAATAAGATCAAGAACTCGATTGTTCTTGTGTTGATGAAAAACCTAAGGAACCGAGATGAAGATTAATCTGTAATTAAATTAATTAAGCGTGATTAATTAACGAAGACTTACATCAGGAGTGCTGCGAGGATAATGAATAGAAGCTGAGAAGAAAATTTGGCGGTGACCATCCACCATGAGAGACCTTCCATCATACGTTACATCTCCTCCTCTCCCAATTCCCACCGCCGCTCCAAACACCCACAATATCATCACCCACATAATTCCCATCTTATTACAAACACCACTTCTATCTCCTATATATATATATATGTATATACACGCACCTATCTATACGTATACACACATATGTATGAGTGTGGTTATGAATGAGCTGGCCAAGGGCTGGTAAGTGTGGGCTACCCTACACTATGTATGTCTATATATGTATATATAATAGAGAGAGAGAGAGAGAGATAAGAGTATAAAATCACTTTCTCATTCTCTTTAAAGACATGTAATCCTCTTTAAATGAATTTTCTTGATCTTTAATTTTTGTTTTCTTGGAGATGATTAGTTGTCGATGATCAATCGAGATAAGTTCAAATTATATACGTTAAAAGATATGGGTTTTACACATATACAATGTGTTACTCGTTATAGAACATTAATAATTTATGTATACGTATATATCTATATATAATATGTGTATAAGTAGAGTGTAAAGTGAGAAAAAACAAGTGTACAAGAAATAGAAAAGCCCAAATCCGAAATTGTAAAGCAAGTCAAGTCGCTGTTGACGTGGCTGTCTTCGTAAGGCTTCTTTTATTTTATTTTCTTACTCTAAATAAAACGTTTTAAAATCATAATATTTCTATAAACTATATAAAAGTGTTTAATATATTCCCTCTAAATGTGACAAAATTTTTTCGCTTCCGTTTGAGTTTCTCTAATGTTATTCTAATGTGTTGATGTAACATATGACGTGTTAAATCATGTGTATATTAATTTTAAATTTATTAATACGGTATCTATATTAATATACATGTAGAACTCACGTTAGTATTTTAAGATAATAATAATATTGAAATAATTTTAATTCTAGTTCTTCTTTTTTTATTATTGTAAATGATGCACCAAAGTACAACAACTCCATTTCGAGTACTCAGAATGGATTACTTCAAATTTATTAGTGAACCTATTCTCTAATCCACCACACTCAAGCTTCTCAATCCCCTTTTTAGTAGTTAAACCATTTTTAACGAATTCTAAAAATACAAATCTAAGACGTTGTAGCGACCGGAAAATTGAAGACAAAAAAAAAAGGGTCACGTCAGCAGACCCAGTCAGCAGTCCCGGCCAACCAGGACCTGCCACGTGGCAAAACCACGTCGACCGGGGACGGGCCACGTTGGCGATCCGTGTACGCGCGATCGGAAGGCCCAGATCAAGCGTGCGTACGGACGACACAGATTTAATCAAAAAATGGACGGCCCATATTAAAACAAAATGGACGGCTGAGATCAAAAGGCAAAAGGGTATAAATAGAACCCCCACACCTGACCACAAAAACCCTAGCCGCCTGCCCTCGCCGGAGAAGACGAACCAGACGCCGGAGACGCCGGCCGCCGCCACCCGCCGCCGCACCGGGGAGATTTCCGACCGCCGATCGAGGTAAATTTCATACTCCCGACTCGTTTTTCCACGCTGATTTCCCCTGTGGCCAAATGGAGCCAAAATCCAAGCCAAACGGCGGGAAAACACGGCCGAAACCCAGCGGCGCCGCCGCGTCCCTTTCTCGGTTTTGCCTCCGATGAGGCCCTTCCCGGCCTCCGTTTAATGCAATTTTTATATCACCGTGATCACCATTCTTTTTTCTACAGGTTGATCGGAGCCAAATCACCAAAACACGAACTTCACAGGAGAGCCACCGCACCCGAAAGCACCGCCGCCGGTAAGCTTCGGTTTTCCATAATTTTTTGGCCCCCCGAGGGCCCTAGGGTTGTTTTATCGCAAGGATCGATGCAAGTGTGGCCGAATTCGGCCAGAAACGGCCAAAAACGGCCAAACCGAGGCGAATCGCCGCCGCAAGCGGCGGCGACGTCGCCGGAGTACGGCGGAGTGCCGGAATTGCGATATTGGCCAAAAAGGGACCCTGGGCCTAATTTGGGATTTTTTGGAACACGTGCAGGTACCAGTAGTGCGTTTCAGTTCCCTAGAAAAAATTCAGGGAAAATTAGGGACAGCCTGTAGGCGCACTGTGAAGCCGTGTTCGGACCCCGAAACGAGTAAGGACCCCTCACCCTATTTCCTATCACGGTATTAAAGTTCAATAATGATAAAACGGTATTTCTTGAATAACGAATGTGTGAAATTGCTTAAGGTCGCTAATGGAGCCCGAGTCTAGTGTGTTTGTCGGTTAACTGTTATTTGGCCTATTTTACAGTTTTAAATGCAATATGAGGTTCGATGTTTTTATTTTATAGTTTCGTGTGCATATTTTACTGTTTTATTGATTATGGATTGAATGACTGGGATATTGATGTTGTATGTTG